GGACACTGAGACAGAGCCAAGGCTGGCCGCTGACCACGCAGCTCAGTGCTGGACACAGACCCCTCCTCCAGGGGGCCACAGGCACAGGGCCCAGGAGACTTTGAACACCCAGGAGGGTGTTTTAATCTCTCTTAAAATCCAAAGCGGAGAAAGAACACCGTCCAGGTTGGTTCTTGTGTCTATCTCACCTGGACCACATCGTCGTGATTCTTTGTTTAGTAGAGGAAGAGGCCCGCGAAGGCAGAGCTCCCTGGCTGTAGTAACGGCCGTCTGCGGTACCCCAGCCGCCCAGGGAAGGCCCCCCCCTGGCGTGCCCAGCCTCGTTCCCCTGGCTAGGAGGCCCCAGGTGACCACCTGGCTCTCAGCCCCTGGTCCCGCCCCGGAGAAGCCTCTGCTGGTGTCTCGGCTCCGGCTGGACAACCCGTGTTGCATCTGACCCTCTGATCTGGTGGCATCATGGTCGCCAGCACGAGGAAGTTCTCAGCCTCGCTGGAGACAGGGCCAGTGGGGCCATCTCCCTGAAGGACTCACCAGTGGAAGTCCTTAAGCCTCTTGGGCTAATCGGAGACGGTTTCCTCACCTGTACAACGGGATGAGGAGAGCACTACCCAGTGGAGCTGCATACATTAGGGCCCTGGGGGTTCAGATCAGTGCTCATTAAGGTATCGGTCAGCGTCTGGCTCCTGCGGTTGGCAGTAAGCCCCGAAGGCAGGGATTGGGCTAGTCTCACTCTCCCTGGTGCCCCCAGGCCCGATGCATAGCAGACGCTCAAATGTTTGAAGGAAGGAATGGATATGGTCTGCTCCTCCTCTGCCAGCAGTTTTCTCTCAATCAGCAGTCATTCACACTTGAGTATAAAGTGCAATTCATGATGATCATCATGTAAAAATGTTCTCCTCCCTGGGGAAGGAGTTTAATGTGGGGAGGGGTAGTTTTTTCTTGGGTAGAGGGGCAGGGCTTGTCCTAGACCTGTGTTTTGCCTCCTTAGAGTGAGCCCAAGCACTTGTGCTCTGATGTTGGAAGGACCATTTCCCTCCTTCCCCTGAGAGCAGAAGCCCCGGAGACAGACCCCCAGACAGGCCTCCCTGAGGGCCCTCTCAGCACAGGACAGGGAAGGCCTGCCCACCCCTAGGCTCCCCGGGGAACGGTGCCCAGAGCCACAGGGATTTGCAGGACGAAGCTGGCGAGCACCTAGGGGGACAGGCCACCAGGCTGGGGTCAAGTTCAGGTTGCCCAGCTGGAGAGATGGGGAGGGCCTCTGCTGCCTGAGACGCGGAGTTCTGAGGCTTGGCAGGAGCCCCGAGGGTGCTGGCCCCGGAATCGTGATGGGACCCAGGCCCTGGCTGGCAGCCCAGGCCCCGCTGGCAGGGCCCCCGCCGGGCTGTCGGGCGGAGACTCGGCCTCAGCCCTGATCAGAGGACCGCATCTGACCTCCTGCAGGATCTGCCCGCTCTGATTCTCCTCCTGGGCCTTTCCTCCCACTGACCTGCAGCACTGCCGTGTCCCCAGCAGCTGCCCGTCAGCCTTGATGGCTTTAGAGGTCAAAGGCACGGGGACTTACTGACCAGTCAGGCCAGCACCTCCTGTGCCTCAGGTCCAAACACCTGGTGAGGAACGGATATCTCAAGCTGGGAGCTTTTATTGAGCTCCTGCTGTGTGCCTGGCCCTTTGGTGTCATGGATGAAAGTTCTTTTGTGGTCAGCGACTCCTGGGACTTGGAGAGTGGAACTAACCTATGACCGTCCACACCTTTGTCCTGGGAACGTGGATAGTCCTTGCAGGTCGTGATGATTAAGTCCTCCGCAGCAGGCCAGCAGCGCACAGTGCCAAGGGGCCACACCAGGCCAGGCAGGGGTCGGGCGCGGCCAGGACCTGCAGCCTGAGTTCTGCAGGGTCAGGCGTCTCCTGCTGCTCTGTGCAAATGCCCCCCCCCCCCAAGTGCCTTGAAGCACACGGAGGTCCCTGGAAGCCCAGCAGCCTGCTGTCCAGCAGGGGTCTCACGGGGACACTCTGGGAGTGGGCAGGGCCACGCCCCCTCCAGAGGCCCCGGGCCTTGGCAGCGGCGGAGGCCTCCATGTTCCTTGGCTCTTGGCCCCTTGCTTGGCCCTCAAGCCACAGTGTCACGTCTTCAGGGACTTGTGCTGGCCCAGCCTCCCTCTCCTCTGGTCACACCATCGGGGCCCTCTGACCCTGACCTCCTGCTCCCTCCTGTGCATCAGCCCCACCTGTGGACCCCCATGCCCTCCCCCTTCCTGGTCTTTGACTTAATCCCTCTGTGACGTCCCCTTGGCCATGTAGGTCGTGCAGTGCCAGGAGTGGGGCATCAGGACGCCGGCGTCCTATGAGGGTCCGCTCTTCTGTCTGCCGTAAGGACGAGGAGATCAATGATAATCCTTTTTTTTTTTTAATTTATTTTTTTTTTTATTGTTGGCTGTTCAAAACATTACATAGTTCTTGATATATCATCTTTCACACTTTGCTTCAAGTGGGTTATGAACTCCCATTTTTAGCCCATATACAGATTGCAGTATCACATCAGTTACACATCCATTGATTTACATATTGCCATACTAGTGACTGTCATGTTCTGCTACCTTTCCTATCCTCTACTATCCCCCCTCCCCTCCCCTCCCCACCCCTCTTCTCTCTCTACCCCCTCTATTGACCTTCATTTCTCCCCCTTGTATTATTTTTCCCTTTCCCCTCATTTCCTCTTGTATGTTCTTTTGTATAACCCTGAGGGTCTCCTTCCATTTCCATGCAATTTCCCTTTTCTCTCCCTTTCCCTCCCACCTCTCATCTCTGTTTAATGTTAATCTTCTTCTCATGCTCTTCGTCCCTACTCTGTTCTTAGTTACTCTCCTTATATCAAAGGAGACATTTGGCATTTGCTTTTTAGGGATTGGCTAGCTTCACTTAGCATAATCTGCTCTAATGCCATCCATTTCCCTGTAAATTCTATGATTTTGTCATTTTTTAATGCAGAGTAATACTCCATTGTGTATAAATGCCACATTTTTTTAATCCATTCGTCTATTGAAGGGCATCTGGGTTGGTTCCAAAGTCTTGCTATTGTGAATTGAGCTGCTATGAACATCGATGTAGCAGTGTCCCTGTAGCATGCTCTTTTTAGGTCTTTAGGGAATAGACCAAGAAGGGGAATAGCTGGGTCAAATGGTGGCTCCATTCCCAGCTTTCCGAGAAATCTCCATACTGCTTTCCAAATTGGCTGCACCAATCTGCAGTCCCACCAGCAATGTACAAGTGTACCCTTTTCCCCACATCCTCGCCAGCACTTGTTGTTGTTTGACTTCATAATGGCTGCCAATCTTACTGGAGTGAGATGGTATCTTAGGGTGGTTTTGATTTGCATTTCTCTGACTGCTAGAGATGGTGAGCATTTTTTCATGTACTTGTTGATTGATTGTATGTCCTCCTCTGAGAAGTGTCTGTTCAGGTCCTTGGCCCATTTGTTGATTGGGTTGTTAGTTATCTTATTGTCTAATTTTTTGAGTTCTTTGTATACTCTGGATATTAGGGCTCTGTCTGAAGTGTGAGGAGTAAAGATTTGTTCCCAGGATGTAGGCTCTCTATTTACCTCTCTTATTGTTTCTTTAGCTGAGAAAAAACTTTTTAGTTTGAGTAAGTCCCATTTGTTGATTCTAGTTATTAACTTTTGTGCTATGGGTGTCCTAATCCTAACGTGCATGTCCCCAGGTCTCTCCGGGTGACGGAGCTGTGGGACGTGCGGAGGGAGTCAGCTGGGGGAGCCTGGCTGAGGAAGCCACGCTGGCGCCCAGGCTAGGAGAGCTGGAGGACAAGCTGGGCAGACGCTGGGGAGCACCGGGGGTACCGCCTGTGCAAAGGCCCTGCGGGCGCTGCCACAGGAGAAGCCAGAGCAGAGCGGGCAGGATGAGAGAGGCAGGCGCTGCTGGTGCAGAGCCCAGCTCCCGGCCTGCCCTACAGAGGCTGCTCAGGGAAGGAGGCTCCTGTCCACTCCAGGCCGTCCTCCAGCGAGTACCCACGGCTCACTCGGCCCCGAGGGCACACTGCCACTCCCAGGTCATGAACAAGAGGCGCCATGGGGCGTCCTCCGCCCAAAGGGAGGGAGTTGGCTCTGGGCAGGAAGGAGGCCACCCACAGGCAGAGACAGGAAGTGGGCCAAGACTGTGACAGCAAGCGTGTATGTGGACAGGGACAGGGAAGGGGGTGGGGGAGAGGATGAGCAGAGCCCCCACAGCCCCCGAGGGGCAGGTCCAGCTCCACGCCCGACTCACAGATGGGAGACTGAGGCCCAGGGGCGGACAGCCCCCTGCCTCTGCTGACCCTCTGACTTCCCAAGGGGCAGCCTCGGGAGCAGCAGGGGGCGGAGACCCCTCAACCCGGAGCAGAGAGCCGGAGTGGGTGCAGGGGACGAGGTCGTCTCTGGACAAATGAAAGGGAACCCAGGCTAAGGTGACCGGGCCAAGAGCCGCGGGAGGCCGCGAGTGTCCGGGGCACGGAGCTGAAGGGACGCTCCTCCGGGGCTTGCTCCAGGGCCTCGCGTGGCCCTGATGGGGTGGGGGGCACCTTGACCAGGCGCTGCGGGGACCTGTGTCCCGGGCAGGGTCTCAGCCCCTGTGGGCGTGGGGCGTGGGGCCATAGGTAGTTCCTCTGGAGGCAGGACGTGGAGCCGGGGCCTGCCGCTCTGCCTGTCAGATGGGGCCAAAGCCAGCGCCTGCAGGGTGCAGGGAGCACGCCGCGCCTGCGGGGCCCTGGGTGGGCGCGTGTGACGCCTGCGGGGCCCTTGGGACACGTGTGCAGCTCCTGGGAACCTCGCGGAGCTGGGAGAGGCCAGGGGAGTGGCAGGAGCCTCCTTCCCTCCTGCCCCACAGAGAGGGAGCCCGGGCAGCTGTGAGCAGCCAGGCAGAGCTGGCCAGCCCCACCGCAGCAGGGCGGACAGTTCCCCGGCCCAGCTCAGGACCTGGAGGGCGGGCTGAGCCCTAGTCAGTCGCCGCGGCCGCCAGGCAGCTGCCAGGAAGTCCTTTTGGGGAGAGAGCGGCAGGGCCACTCCCGCCACATCTCCGGCAAGCCCGGTGCCCCCTCCTCCTGCGCTGCCCGGGCTGCAGCGGCCCCTGTTGGTTGCATTCTGGGGTCAGAGGTTATAGGGCAAGCTAAAAATAACCTGGCAGGCCGGCCACCCTTGAGGAGGGGGCGTGTGCCGGGCGCAGACGCAGGATCCGAGGGACCCCGCTGCGTGCGGCTGAGAGGACCAGGGAGAGGAGCTCCCACTGCTGGCCCCACCCAGCAGGGAGCCTCCTCTCGGCCTGTGCAAGGTCGCTGGCCCCAGAGGAAACGCCTGTGACCAGCGGGATGGGCAGCTGCCGAGGGACGGTCGCCTGGGCTCTGTGCTTCCTGCTGCTGCTCGCAGGGGGCTCCGCGGGGAAGCTCTGGAAGCGGGCGCTGCCCGGGAGGCTGGCCGAGAAGCCCCACGTAAGTGCCGGGAGGGCGGGCAGCCCCGTGGGGCAGCCGGGCCAGGCGACCCAGGCCTGCCGTCTCCCCCGGGGCTCCCCAAAGGCCGCAGCACTGTGTCGGTCCCAGTGGGGAGGAGGGACTGGAACCCTCAGAGGCCCCCGCTGGGGAGGAAGGCGACAGGGACCCTGCAGATGGGCAGCAGAGCCCAGCCTGGCTCTGGCTGGCCTCCAGAGCTGCCTTCTCCTGCAGAGCAGCACCTGGTCAGAGGTGGAGGACTTAACCTGGGCTGCCTCCACCACCACTGACCCTCTGTGGGGCACCGCTGTGAATCCAGGTGGCCCTCGGTCCACTCAGTGGACACTGAGCAGAAACCGCCCTGAGGAAGGGGTAGTGGGGTCCTGTAGGTGAGGTGGAAGTGACCACAGCCCTGAGGGGCAGATGATGGCAGCTCCGAGGAAGGGCTGGGGATAGCCAGCTGGAGAAGCCAGGTGGCTGGATTCAAGGGTGGCCTCTGCTTCTCCCCAGCTGTGTGACTTTAGGCAAGCTGCTTGAACTCTCTGAGCTCCAACAATCTGATCTGCAAAAGAAAGCGATGCACTCCTCTCAGCTCATAGGTGTCAACAGCACCGTTTTACCAGGTGCTGGCCTGGGCTGCGGGGACGTGGACATTGAGTCTCTGCTGGGGAATTCACAGGACAAGGGGGACAGTAGAGAATAAAAGAGAGAGAAAACAAAAAACCTACTGTGTGTCCAGCTTCCAAGGGCTCAGGAGAGCCACAGGGCAGGAAGGGACCAGCAGGGAGCCTGGGGGCAGGGGTGACAGAGGTGACCCAGGGGCTCAGATCCTCAGCAGGACATCTGGAGGAAGAGGGTCAAGAGCCGAGCCCTGGTACTCTCATGCCCTCAGCAGGATGCCAGCTGACGAGCGCGTGGAGGCTCCGAGCGCGTGGAGGCTCCTGACCAGGGTGGCGGGTGCCCCCCTTGGGGCAGAGCGCAGGTCCTCAGGCCAGCGCCTGCTCCATTCAATGTACCCACCTCGTGTCCCGCCAGCCGCCACCACTGGGTCAGCACTGGGTCACTCTGGGGCCAACTTGTGAGCAGATGCACGTGGACAGGAGAACACCCGTGGGCATGTCCAGGAGAGTCAGGGAGGGTGCCAGGGGTGGGGACGTTTGGCCTGGGGCTTTGAGGGGTGAGTAGAAGTTCCCCAGAGGGGCAGGGTCTGTGCCTGCAAGGGATCGTATGAAGCCTAGTCTGGACTCCAGGACTTGCACTCTCGGGGCGGTGGCCCTGGCTGGCGAGGGCAGGAGCCGTGGGAGGGAGGGAGATGATGGAGGTGTTTGGAGGAGGGTGCGCTCACTCGAAGTGGTGAGGTCACCAAGGCCTTCCTGGAGGAGGCAGCCAGCGGCCCTGGCCAGAGCTCGCAGAGACTGAGAATCAGGAGGCAGAAGGACATTCCTGGAGGTTGGGAAGGGACCTGGGGCCAGTCCTGGCCAGGCAGGGAGGCCCTGCGCAGGCTCCACCCCCTGAGTCCCCCGCTGGCGTGGCGGGTTGGTTTTACCCTCACAGGTGTACTGTGCCACCACTGGTCAGGCGCCCGCCCCAAGTCTGTCCCTGGATCTGCACACATTGGTCCCTGCCCAGAGCGTGGACACTGGAGAGCTTTGTATAAGCACATATGCCTCAGAGAGAGCCGCGGGGAAGGACAGGCGGCTACCTCAGAGGACAGGAGGCCGGGCAGCTCAGCAGGCCCAGAAGTCGCCACAAGTCACCTCAAGTGAGCTGTGCCACCGCAGGCTACTCACTGCCCCTCTCTGGGCCTCACAGTAGTGAAGGTGGAGGACTGGATGACCTCTAGGGCCCTATCAGCTCTGACTAATTCCTATTCAAGTGTCCCACAGGGAACTAGGAGGTGACAGGAGGCAGCCCCAAAGGCCCAAAGGCAAGGCCTTCCTGTGTGGCTCCGCCCCACCCACAGCCCTGGCCCTGGGCCCTGGAGGGCAGTGGGCTGGGCTGGGCAGGGAGAGGTCTGTCGTCCGGTACTGTGCTGGAGCCTCCCTACCCACCCTGGGAGCTTATTTTACCTAATATGGCCACCGTCACAAACCTGCCAGAGAGGAGCCACCAGGAGCTCCTCACCCCCCAGGGGGACCTCACCCCCAGAGTCTCCTCACCCCCAGGGGCTCCTCACCCCCAGGGGCTCCTCACCCCCGGGGGCTCCTCCCGTCCTCTGCCTCCTGCTCCCTGGTGGAGCCCCGCAGGCCTGTGAGCCGGGGATAGGAGGCCATCTCTTCTCACTGCTCCTGGGGTGGCCCCAAGTCAGCCAGGCTGGGGGTGGCACACCTTGGCCATCCGCCCCAGAGAGCTGGAGTGGGACCCGACCTGCACAAGGCGCCGTCACCACCCAGACTCCTGTCTCTGAGCCCTGTCCTTTGGCAAAATGACCTTTGTCTGGGGACCCATCTCTTGGTCGGGGGGCTGTTGATCGCCTGAGTTCCGTTTGCATCTCGCCGTCCAGGCACAGAATGGCCAGTGGGCAGCACGCTGGCCTCACATCCCCCTGGGGTCCCCCAGGAGGCTCCCGGCCCACTGCCCTCCAGCTGCAGTGACTCCCCTGTCCCCTCTGGGCCTCAGCTTTCTCAGCTGCAGCCTGGGGCACAGCACGCAGGGCCTGGTGAGGACCAGGAGCTCTGCGCCCAGCCCCGAGCCGCGTCCTCCTCGTGTGTGCTGAGCATTGTATGGGGACCCCGTGAAGTGCCCAGGGCCGCGGGAGGGGTGTGGGCATGCCACCTCAGTGTCCCAGGGCCCTGTGCGGGCACGGGGGGCTCGGCAGCCCTGGGGGGCGCTGGTGGGTGCGTGCTAGAGTCTGCAGTCCTGCGAGATGCTGGTCTTTTGATGACTCTCTGAGAGAGTCCCATTGGCACTGCACCCGTCCTGCTCCCAGAGCCAGCGTCGAGGCCCCAGGTGCCGGGAAGTGCATTCACGCACGCGCTGAACTCGGGCCCTCTGTTCCAGGGAGAAACTTATTTTTAAATCTTTGACGTCCAAATTCCAGAGGAAGAACAAATACTGCTTAGAGGGAAATTGGCTTTCTTCCTCCACCAAGCAAGCCAGTCTGGGGTACATTTTTATTGGCCTGGAACATTCCAAAGGAGGGTAAAGTTGTTCAGGGAAGGAAGGGTGTGGGTGCTAAGGGTCCTGGTGCATGGGTGGCCTGCAGGCTGGTGCCCTTTCCCTGCATAGAAATGGCTCAGCATGTTTTCTTCTGTTTATTACAATAGTGATGTTTACTGTAAAAAAAAAAATCAGACGGCACAGAAAGTTATAAATAAGTGCAGATGACCTCAGTTCTTCCTACCAGACGCAATGCAGGGTCCAGAGCTTTCCACGAAGCAGTCGCGCACATTTCTTACTGGCGTTGCATTGAGACTCTCTTTGCAGAGGTGAATCTGCAGGAGGTGAAGGAACCCTTTGAGTGGGACTTTGCAGTGGCACTTGGTACGTCTGTGCCTCCTGCAGCCCCTACCTCTCTACTTCCAAAGCATGCCTATCACCCTGGGAGACCCCGTCCCATAAAGGGTCGCTCCACCCCCTGCAGCCCTGGATTTGTGTCTCGGTGTCTCGCATCAGTGGAGTCTGGTGGCCCTGGCTGGTTCACACTGTCTCCCACCTCTGTGTTTTCACACCATGACACATGGTGAGTGTGCTCATGGGTGGGTCAGTGTCCTCTCCTCCCAGGTCTGTGATGTCCTGACGCAGGGGTGTGCCGTCCCTAGCTGGCTTCCTTTGGCTGGAGGCCAGCTTAGTTGAGTTTAGACTTTACCACTTAGAATGGCCCCCGCTGACTTGGGCTCCCTGCTGAGCTGGTGGAGCCCGGCCCTGGAACTTCCTTCACCTGCTTCCTAAGGACGTGGGAGGCAGCTTTGTAAATCTAGAGGCCACCAACAGCGTCTCCCCAGGAGTGGGGAGATACCATTGGTGGGAAGCCTTCAGGGGATGGGGTTTCCTCCAAGTCAGAATGTAGAGCCCGAAGCCCTGGGTGGCTGGGCACCTGGACCTTGACTCACCCGACAGTCCCTTAGCAGAAGTGGGGGTACAGACGGAAACCCGAGGCCACTCTGTGGCCTTTGTGGAGGGAGCTGGCCGTCAGAGGACCTGCCTCTTTTCTCAGGGGGACTTAATGTGCGTAATGTCCTTTTCAGCTGAGTGGCCGTGTAAGTGGGGGAGGGGGGCTGGCTGGGAGAGGTGAGCATTTTCCAGAATGTGTATGGGGAGGGGGGCATACACATTCTGACCGTGCCCTGAGTTGGGGCTACTGCAGCGGAGGGCAGAGGCCTGGCGCAGGACAGATGCCCACATGGAGGGACGCACCTCCCAGGCCCAGGCTCTGGGGACCAGAAGGCTCTGACGGTCAGAAGCCTGCTCCCCCACTCCAGCAGCCTCAGCTCAGGTTTCCCCATCAAAAGTGGGTAGACACCTGCAGCCTCCGAGGGCTGCACTAGGCATAGGGTGTGGAGTCCACTGTCTCCAAAGGCTGCCTCGTGGGCCTCCTGCCCAGGGCCTGGGTTCTGAGCCTGACAGCTCCGCATGGTGACTGTGCCTTCGAGTCAGTTTGTACCTGTCACTCTCCTGGAAGGGGTCTGGCAAGCTGCCAGGAGCCATGCCCATGGTCACTGTCTGGTGCCAGCATGCACTGGGCCACACGTATGGGTGTTGGGCACTTTTCTAGGAGCCTGGGACACAGGTGAAAATATGTCCAAGTCCCTGTCCCCAGCAGGGCACGTCACAGCAGAAGGAAGACAGTAGATGAGGGTGCAGTACACAGGCCGAGGGTGGCCAGGGGCTGGAAACTGTGTGGGGCCAAAGTGGAGCACAGAGGGACGGCCATGTGAGCAGAGGCCTGCGGGTGATGCCTGGCGGGGCCGGTGACCCGGACAGTGAGCAGTGGAGTATGGGGACAGCCAGTGCAAAGGTCCAGAGGTGGGACTGGGCTCATGTGCTCTGGGGACCTCAAAGGGGTAGGCGGCTGGACAGGGTGAGAGGGCAGTGGTGGGAGACCCCAGAGAAGGGAGGGTTGGCGGCCCCCACCCTACTGACCCCGCCTGCTGGGCCAGGAGGACTGGGCTGTTGACTCCTTCAGACGCTGGGGAGGGGCGTGGGGTGAGCTCTTTTAGGAAGGGTCATTCTCAGGCCCCAGGGCTCAGCCACTGTTCAGAGCCCTCCTGGGCGCCCCTGGAGCTCTCTCCAACATTAAGCCCTTAATCTGGCCCTGGGTGAAATCGCTTCTTTATCACCCAGGCCATCTGCTGGCTCAGCGGGCTGGTAAATAACAGGGAGAGCCAGCTGAGGGCTTATCTCTTTTGTTCTGTCCAAATTCTGAGAACCGGCATTTGAATTTCCCTCGGAGAACAGGGGACATCTAAACTTGATCTCTGCACAGCCCCCTCCTCCGGGGCCACCCGGAGGGAGTCACGGGATGGGAGGCAGGGGAGGCGGGGAGGCAGGGGAGGCGAGGAGCCTCCTCACCCCGGGCTCCGCTAATTCTGTAAATGAGGCCCCGCGCTGCCCTCCGAGGGGGCTGGGGCAGCCGTCGCCTTGGATCAGGATTAAAACTGAAGAGGCCCCAACACGGGTCCAATTTAGTTAATTCTGCAGCAAATGGCACGGAGAGCTAGTGTCGTGGGATTGTGCCCCTGCGTGCCGGGGTGCTTGGCGATGGCGCAGGAATGCGCGGGTCGCGGGAAGGGGTGCGGAGAGGGCGGATGCGGAGAGGCTGCCCGGGTCACAGACCCCCCGCAAGCCCCCGTCCCCTCCCCTTCCTTTCCCTTCCCACCAAGCGCTCACTGCTGCTTTGCACAAATGGGTTCCTGGGGTGAAGCAGGACGCAGGCGCCCTCCCCGGCTGTCCCCGCCCACTTGCATGGGCCTGGGAGGCTCGCTGCGAGGCAGGAAGCGCTGGCCTCTGCCGCCACCTACTGGGATGTGCCTGGTCCCCGGTGGCGCGCGCTCCCTGCAGGCCGCCGGCAGCAGCGCACCGAGTGTGCTGGCTCCGCTATGCAGGCGCAAAAGGGCGTTTGGTGACCTTTTGGCTTCTACTGGAGGCCTGGACCAGAAACACCCACGATCTCAGCGAGTCCGGGCAGGGACGCCTTCAGGAGGGTATTTCAGCTGGGGCTGAGGAGTGACTTGGCCAGCAGAACAGAGAGGCAGCAGAATCTTCCAGGCTGAGGCCGGGCACGTGTCCTGGGGCAGAAACCTTTCTGTTGCTGTGCGGGTGGTCAGTCCTCAAAAGCTCCAGTGGGGAGTGCTGGTGACCACCCCCTGCAGGAAACGGGACTTGCACAAAGTTAGGCAGAGCTGGGTCTGAACCCAGCCCACCAGCTGCAGAGTCCAGGCAGGTGGCCCCTCTGCTGTGCTGCAGGAGACAGGTCAATTGAAGGAAGAGGACAGCAGGACAGGTGCTGACCAGTGACAGGGTCAGAGGCTTCAGTCTGGAGGTCCTGATTGAGCAGGACAGGAAGGAGCCATCCAGAGGGCAATGGGGCTGCTCCCGAGGGGCAAAGGCCTTGAGTGGGCTTGTGCTGGAGGGTGAGGAAGGGAGAGGGCGGGGGTGGTATGAGGAGGTCAGCACTGGCACTGAACTTGAAGGTCCAGTGAGGAGCTGAGATTTGGTCCTAAGGGTGCTGGGAAACCACAAGCCTCAGAGCACAAGAGCATTGGTCCCGAGGTGCCTTCCAGAAAGCCCCTTTGAGGGCTGGGATTGTGACTAGGTGGCAGGGCGCTTGCCTCGCACGTATGAGGCCCTGAGTTTGATATTGTGTTCATCTACAACTAAAAAAAAAAAAAAAAGAAATAAAGCCCCTTTGAGCTGCAGTTTGGAGAATGCAAAGGGGGCAGACGTGGAGTCAGGGAGGCCAAGGTGGAGGCTGCTGTGGAGGCCATGGGGACTTGGGCCTCAGTGGCATTCATTCACAAACATTGACAGAACATGCCAAGCACTGCGCCCAGTTTCCTGTGTTGCCAGGACAAATGACCAAAACTAGAGTGGCCTAAACCAGCAGCATCGTATCCTCTGAGTGTGGGAGGCCAGGAACTCAGTATCAGTCTCACTGTGTGGAGATCGCGTTCGGCCTGGTCATGCCCCCTCTGGAGGCTCCAGGGGAAGGTTCCTCCTTGCCTCCTCTAGCTTTCGGGTGCTGCTGGCCACCACTGCTCCTGGCTCAGTCTCACCACCCCAGTCTCCTCCTCCATCTTCGCGTGGCCTTCCGTGTGAGTGCGTGTGTGTGTGTGTGCACATGTGTGCGCTCTTCCTCTGTGCCTCTCTATAGGACACTTATAATTGGATAATCCAGGATCCCATGAGATCCCGGATCAAACACACAGAGCCTGCTTTATCGTATGAGGTTGCATTTACAGACCCCAGGGACAAGGGGTGTCTTTGGGGGCTTGCTCACCACCTGAAGAGGCAGTCACAGAAGACTCAGCACCTCCCCGCGGGGTTGCTCACCTTCTGAACAGGAAGCAGGTGTGCTCACACAGCTTCACAGAGGGTGGGGAGCGGGGCCTTGGGGAGGGTGTGGGCCCTGATCCTGGCTGGGAGCTTTGGGGCAAAGGAGAGTGGAGTTGAGTCCTGGATGCGGTTCCCTGTAGAGCTGGAGGAGAGGCCCCAGAGCCGCGGGCAAGGCCCGGAGGGCTGGGGGCACTCTGCCAAGGAAGCTTGCAGCTGTGTGCGTGCTGTGTGCTCAGGTCTAGATGTAGCGGGGGCTTGGACGGTGTGTCCTGGCTGGGCTCAGAGACCTCCTTCCTCCTGATGCTCAGCCTTGTTGTCCTGGGCTCCTCCTGGTGCAACCGGGAAGTCCCATGCCCCTCAGTTCAGCATGCATTGCCCACACCAGGTCCCCTGGAGGTGGGTCAGGTGGCATACAGGAGGAGAGGCTCCCCTTCGTTGACAGCCACTGTGATAGGTAGCACGGCTTCAGGGCCCCAAGGGGAGCCCTGGGGGTCTGGAGGAGGGAGGGTCTCATCTGGGGATCCAGCGTGCTCTCCTTAGTAACATCTTTATTAGACACAGGTCACATGTTCCACAATCCACCCACTTAAATGTGCAGTTTGTGCCTGTGGCCCATTTACCGCTGTGCAACCAATGCTAAAATCAGTATTAGATCATTGTCATTGTCCCCAAAAGAAACCTGCACCCATAGGTGGTTCCCTAACATGAAACCTGCACCCATGATTCACTGCCAGTCCTGCCCCCGGAGGCCATCCTTCTGTTTTCTGAATCTACGGATTTGCCTGCTCTGTGTGAATGCAGGGGGACCCCACAGTATATGGCCCTCTGTGTCTGCCTGCTGGGCATCGTCTCTAGGGTCCATCCAGGTGGTCCTGTGTGTCAGGCCTTCATTTATATTTGTGGCCAAATGAGGTTCCACTGTGTGGAGAGACCACATTGATCAGCTGGTGGACATTTGGGTTGTTTCCACTGGGGGGCTGTAGGAGAAGACCCGGCCGTGCCTCTGGAGGGCTTGTTCCGTGCGCACTCCCACTAATAAAGTGTTGACTACATTTTATTTTTTAACCTTTTACTGAAGCAATATTGAAAAGTACAGAAACCTTAAGTGTCCAGTTCCCACAAATTAAACACCCTGTGTCATCCACGTGAGGTCAAGAGAGCAGAGCGGGCCGGGCCGTAGGTCCCCAGGTGAACCAGCCAGCCCCCACAGGCAGGCACCAGAGACTCCCCACCGGGCACCAGCTTTGCCTGTCCGCAAACTGCACTGTAAACTGCAGTGGAATCACACTGTCCCTTGTGACCTGGCTTTCCCCTTCCATGTGCTGTGTGTGAGATTTAGCCAAGCTGTGCTGTGAATCCATTCACTCCATGTGTGAGTTGTAAATTCTCAAAGCTCTACATAAACATTGATTACAAGAAATCAATCAATCCATCTATCTATATACACACAGAGACGTGTGTATGTGTGTGCACACATGCATGGATACACGGGTGCACACTCAGGAGATCCATCTCTCAGGTGGTAGGTTCCTAAAGTGAAAGACTCCAGCAAGCCACCAAGATTCACTTCTGCAGCTGTTGGTGGCCTTCAGTCACCTCAGTTTGGGGCAGTTACAGACAAACTCCGCCCCCCCCCCCCCCCCCCCCCCCCGCCAGAAGGACCCTCAGAGGCTGGGTCTGCGGGGATCAGTTTTCCAGGCCAGGAAGCGCAGGCTGCGAGAGGTCCCAGGACACCGCGCAGCGCACAGCTCCAAGGCACTGGCTTGGCGCCACTGATCGCCCTCCCCTGTCCCGCAGGCCGAGGAGGCGGGTGCGCCCGGTGGCCCCCGGCAGCCCCGCGCTGACCGCTGCCCGCCGCCCCCACGGACACTGCCCCCTGGCGCCTGCCAGGCTGCGCGCTGCCAGGCGGACTCCGAGTGCCCGCGCCATCGGCGCTGCTGCTACAACGGCTGCGCCTACGCCTGCCTGGAAGCCGTGCCGCCCCCGCCAGGTAGGCCGGGCGCGGGAGGGGGCAGGTGGGCCTGGAGCCCCCCCCCCCCCGTGGGGGCCGCAGAGCACCTGCAGAGGCCAGGACCATCTGGGCGTCTCTTTTACCTGCCGCTCACTGTCCTCCCGTGCTCCCTGGGCACAAGTCCAGGGACTTACTGAGCACCTCCCGAGGGCGGAGCCCACAGCCCAGGAGGCCCACCCTGGGAGGACAGGGAGGGGCTAGAGTCCCCTAAACACCCAGACTGAGACTTTCCCTGAAAATACCCCGCCAGGTTCCCCTTCCCCAGGTCCCACATTCCTGGGACCTCACCAGGCCCCTTCGCTCCTGGATCTAGTGCCCGGGGTGTCTGGAGGAGAGTGGGTGCTCAGCAGTGCGGTGGGGTGTCTGGGAGGCAGGGACCTGGGAGGTTCAAATCCTTCAGATTCCAGTTGAGCAGGGCTGAATGCACCTGCTGCTCTCGGAGAGCCTGAACCATGGAAAACCAGCCCAGGGCGGGGGCACTGAGGAGATGCTGTTGAACCTGACGCCCTCTCATGGGAGGGACAGTGTTGGGGTGCACCTAAACATGACAACGAAGGAGTTCCAGATCCCTTTTGGGGAGAAGTCTTGGGTGTGCAGGGAGGAGAGCTGCCAGGGGCCCCGAGCCAGGTGGGCAGGCAGTAGCCCCGGTGGGGTGGGGAAAATGTGCCCTAAGTGGGTGGGACGGGCGGGAGGGGGACAGCTCTGCTCCAGGTAGGGCCTTTAGACAGGTTGGGCTTTTGGACTCTCTTTTCCTGGAACCACCAGGTTCCCAAGGGCAGTAATTACGGAAGGAGGCTTCAACAGGGGGCCTACCTCTCCCAAGGCTGGGGAGACTGCGGAAGGTGGAAGTGACCACACCTTGTGTTCTTTGGGGTGAGGTCACAGCGATGACAAGGGACTCAGCACATTTAATAACACTCATGATTACGCTCGGCTACTCTGAGTCTGCCTCTGAGCAGAGACAGGGCAGGCGCTCAGGGACCGGTTGGCTCCCACCCAGCCTTTATAAGAAAGGTGGCACAGCACCCCCTTCTGGTGGAAGAGCACATGAAGCACCCCGCCCGCCCCCACTGGGGGTGTCCCTTCCTGTGGAATGCGCCCAGGCATAGAGATTAGCCTTGCTACCTAGGCCAAGTGCTTTTGAGCAGTGCACAAAGGATACAATGGTGCCAGGCATCCCCAATAGTCTCCCAGACATTTCATCTCATCTTAGCTGCATGGGTGGAGACGGGGTCAGTTTCATTTACAACTGAGGACACAGAACTCAGAGAAACTGAGTCACTTGCTCAAGATTAAACAGCAGCATAGCTGCTGAGGAGAGGTGCACCTGGCCCAGAGGGCAGGAACGTGGGGGTCCCTGCTCTGACACCTGGGCCCCTGTGCAGGGTCCCACCCAGAACTTCCTCCCTGATGCCCTCAGCCTCTCTTCCTCACCTTCAGCTCTTCGCCCAGAGACTGCTCTCTCGGGGGACTTTCCCCTGGGAACAGCGGTCCCTCCTCCAGCCACCCCCTCCTCCCTGCTTGCTGGCTGTCACCTGACTCGAGGGTCAGCCCCACTGGGTAGAGTCTGTCTGCTTCTCTTCCTGGGGTGTCCCCAGCACCTTGAGCGGTCTCTGGGTGCATGACAGCTACTCGGATACTCACCATTCATTCACGGCCGGCAGCAAGGGCCGCTCAGCGCGGGTCGGTCATAAAAACTACGAGTAACAGCGCCAACAAGGTTGCCCAGCCGTGACGTGACGGTGTGACGCTGGAGCTGAGGGGGGAGCAGCCCGTCCTGGGCACTGCAGGTGTCAGCCCAGGGCCTCTGTGGTCATGAGAGGGAGGCTCCTACCCCAGAGGCTGCCTGGGGAGGCCCCTGACCCTGTCCTTTGTCAGTTTTAGACTGGCTGGTGCAGCCGAAACCACGGTGGCTTGGTGGCAATGGCTGGCTCCTGGACGGCCCCGAGGAGGTGCTACAAGGTAGCTGCGGGCCCCAGGGCGGGGCGGGGGGCAGAGCCAGGCTCCCCCTCCTGAGGTGCCAGCAGGAACCACAGCACAGGCTGTCTGTCCCTGCAGGCCCTCAGCCAAATGCTCACCCTCCGGATCCCCCAGCCCAGCTCAGAGGTGCCAGCTGTCACTCAGCTGTCCCACAGCCCAGGACAGAAAGAGGGCCTGGACGCTCCCCAACAACGGGGCCTCCTTCCTGGGTGGAGAGGGCAAGGCAGAGGCTAGGGCTGCTTCCTAGACCCTGCATCTTTAGGGGTTCATTGCTGTGCGTGGTCTGTGGGGTGAGCATGTGTATGAGTGTGTGTGGTTGTGTCGGGATGTGTGTGTGCGTGTGTGCTGGGTGTGAGTCTGTTTCAGGGTGAGCCCGTGAATGGGTGGGTGTGAGGCGTGTTGGGATCTGTGATGGGCCGGCCTCTGGGTGTGTGCACACCTGTGGTTCCAGGTGGGGTGTCAGTTTCGGGGAGGGGGGCGCAGGTGCAGGTGTGGGGCGCCTCGCTGGACAGGGCGTGGTGTGTGCCCGGCTCTGCCTCTGAGGCACTGGCGGGTCCCCCACAGCAGAGGCATGCAGCACCACCGAGGATGGCGCAGAGCCACTGCAGTGTCCCTCAGGCTACGAGTGCCACATCCTGAGCCCCGGGGACGTGGCCGAGGGCATCCCCAACCGTGGGCAGTGTGTGAAGCAGCGGCGGCCAGCAGGTGAGTGGTGCCCTGGGCCTGGCTCCTGCTCCCCAGAGCCCCCCACAGTGGCGACAGAACCCTCCCCCTGGGTGGCCTTGGGGTCCATTTCTTCTCCTGGCGGAGCCTTGGTCTCCTCATCTAGAATGGCACCACACTCCTGCCCTGCTCGCCTTAGCTGTGTGCACGGCCTGGCAGGCTCCTCACCTCAAGCCTCCCTCTTCCTAAGACAGGAATCTCACATGCACCGAGGACCTACTGTGTGCCAGGTGCTGTCCTCATTCAAGCCTCATAACTACCCGCAAAGTAATCACTACAGCTGCCGCCGTCCCCAGGCCAGCCAGGGTGGAAGCCGCAGGTCCTGGGCCCTGCTCTTAACCCCTCAGGCCCTGCTGCCCGTCTCGCTTGGTAGCTGGCTGTGAAGCTCGAGGACAGGGAAAGCCTCTGCTGCCAAGATCCACAAGGATGGGGGTCACATGGGGTCATTGCCTCGCACTGAAAATGCCAGCGCTGGTCCCTGATGATCTTTATGTGCCCACAAAACCGGAGAAAATGTCTCCTATCGTGTCCACGTGACTCACAGGAGAGCAGAGAGCACAGCGTGGACGGAGGATGGTTGCCGCCTCCCACCCTCCCCATGTGCCCACGTGTTCTGGCCTCAGCCGGGCGGTGCTGGGGGAGAGGCTGGGCTCGAGGACGGGGCCACAGGGTCGACACTGCCGCAGTAGCCGCTCTTTGCGGAGAGTGGCAGCGTCCCGTGGCCCCTGGTGTGTTTTCAGGGAATCATTCCCAGAGGCTCGCAGTGACCTGGAGGACAGGTGTGGCACCTCCTTGGTGGGAAGCTGAGGCTCAGGTGGGGTGGGGGAGGCAGGGCGGGAAGATCCGATCGAGGACTGTCCTTCCCCATGGTGACCCCGGAGTCCCCTCGGACACACTCACAGTGCCACTTACTCATGTGTGAGCGTGTTTTGCAATGGCGTTGGCTGAACGGGACGTGGAAATTCCGCAGTCCCTGGTCTGCTTGGACAGTGGCTCCCAGGCTTTGGGTCTCCGGATCCCTCACCAGGGGGTCGCACAGTGCGCTCCTCCCCACAGCGGGGCTGGGGGCTGGTGGGCAGGCGTCACACAGAAACTGAAGCCCAGACGCTGAAGATGTTCCTGTGCTTGTCCTTTAAACATGACAACACGCCCATCACATATTAAACCCAAGAATCATTTTTCTTACGAATAACCATATTTTCCAAAACAAGAATATGTACAGTGAGAAGGGGGCACTGGGCCACAGTCGGGCCACGCCCTTTAGTTCATGAATGGAGAGGGAGATCTTCCTGTGTGCGTCTGTTCAGCTGCTGCGGTGTCACTCTCCATGGGACCCGGGAAAGCTCCAGCGCACCTGGAGGGGAAGGAGAAGGAGAGAAGGGGCTCGGGCTTCGGCCTCATGAGCTCTGGAAACAAGTCTGATCTCCTCATTGTTTCTCCAGATGGGCGATTCCTGAGACACAGATTTTACAAAGAATATCCAGGTGAGAGAAGAGGCCATTCCTTCCTTGCAGAGGGCATGAGAAGGGTCAGCAAGCATTGACCTGGTGAAGAGGGGAAAATAAAAGCCCAGGTCTGAACCGTAGGGGACAAACAGGAAGTAGGTTTGGAAACACGGACGCAGCCTTGCTGTCCAGTGGTGGCCATGGCAGGCTGAGTGGCTCCTGGCCGACCTGGCCTCGTGCTGAAGGTCAGAGCCCAGGGCTGGATGTGCCAGAACCCAGGACTGTCCCCGGATGCTTATTTGGGGAATTGGAAAAGGGTGGCCAGCTCCATCCCTCCCCCGCCCATCTAGTCATCTGTGCGATCAGCCATTCGTTATCCACCGCCACCACCCACCTGCCATCGCCCGCCACCGCCCAGCCAACCTCGTCATCAGGAATGGACGCGCGTTACCAAGCATTGCTTATCATTCTGGGCTGGAGGTTGGGGCCACACTTGTCACCGTGACACAATTGCTATCAGCAGGCAGCTACTATCAGGAGGAAATCCAGCCATTAACAGGGCCCAAGTCCTATTAGTGGGCAGTGGTGACGCAGGCTCCTGACCGCGCATACTGGATACCTGCAGGACACCTTGGACCGGGTGGTCAAGGGAGCCTCCCTCAGGAGGGGACAGGGAGCTACGCCTAAAGACCAAGCAACAGTGGGCAGCGGAAGGGCTGTGTGCCAGTCCTGGGTGACTGCCTGATGAGCAGGACGGTGGGTGGCCAGCGGTGAGGGATGAGGCTGGCCCTTGCTGAGCCAGGGGAGGGTTGCAGGCAGCTGTGCGGCCCCCCGGGGGCGGGCTCAGGGCCAGGTCACCAGGCACGGGGAGCTAGCTTGGCATCACCCGTGCAGCGAGGCAGGCATTTCAGCAGGGTGGGACACTTCATTTTGCAGAGGGTGACTCGAAGAACGTGGCGGAACCCGGAAAGGGGCAGCCGAGGAGCTTCCAGTAGAGCAGCGCCCAGCCGGCAGGTGAGGGGGGCTGAGGGCCAGGAGCCAAGCAGGGGTCATCAGGAGCCAAGCAGCGGTCATCAGCACGCTGGCTGCGGGGCGGGCGGGCGGAGGGCTCCACCTGCTGGTGGAGTTTCAGATCCCTCGCAGGTTCCCAGGGATCCCGCGAGCTCCAGCCTTCCCTAGTGGGAGCTTCTTCTGGCCCTAGGGACCCTAAGCCAAGACAGGCAGGGTGGTGACTCCCCTACCAGCCCTGGGCTGGCAATGCCTGCAATGTCCCCTCGCTTGTCCTGCCTGCCCACGCCGGCCCAGCAGTACCCACGGGCGCCAGTACTGGGCCCCAGTTCCGGGCTGTCTGCTGTGTGCCAGGCCCAGTGCTGGGGCGGCCAGTCAACAAGCCCAGCAGAGCCCCTGCCCCGGGGCTCACGTCCTGGAAGGAGACTGGACAGGCTGTAGGGGGGGCCATCAGATAGATGGCGGGGGGTGGCTGGTGACATGGCGCAGAGGAGCCAGCAGGGCGGGGAGCTGCCTCCGTGGGGTCAGGGAAGCCAAAGGTGACACTGAGCCAAGACTGAGGACGAGAAGGTGCTGCGTGGGGACAGCTGGCTGGGGAATCCCTCGGGGCGGGGGTCTGGGCTCCGAAGGAACCCAAGGAGGCCGCTGGGCGGGAGGGAGTGGCGTGCGGAGGCTGCCGTGTGTGTGGAGACCTGTGTGGAGACGCGGCGGCAGGTGAGGTGAGGTGCTGCCAGCCGAGAGCAGGCACAGGGGCCCCCGAAGGGCTGTGGGGTCGGCCACCAGAGGGTCTTCACCGCGAACCTTGACCCCCTCCCCGCCCCGGCCCTGGGAAAGCCGCAGCCCACGGGATGGACAGTCCACGTGGGGCAGGAACTTCCAGGTGTCCTTGAAAGGAAAGGAGCAGGTTTTAGGTTCCAGAATATTCAGGGCTGAGTCTTCCAGGAAGGTCTGGAGCCCGGGGGGACCCATCAGGGTGTCCACTGCCTGCTGGAGACAAGAACCCTTTCTGGAGTGTCTGGCGCCAGCCATGCCTTTGACGTTTCACCAGGGAGTCTGGGGCCGAGGATCAGTCGAGGACGTTTGTGGAAGGAGGGGCTGGGGAGCCAGGGGCCTGGCCTTAAGTTCCGCTCCTTCACCCTTGACCTTAAGCTGGTGACCGCACCTGAGAAACGGGACTGATGTAGAGGGTGTGCTAGTACCTGAGTCAGAAGGTGCCCCCCAGGCTCCCCGGGAGTTGTTAGAGTCACATCTTGCTGGAGGTGGGGTCTTTCTGGCTAGTGCTGGGCCAGGGAGGGAGGGACAGGGCAGGCTTTAGGCCCCTCCAGCCTCCACCGCGGCTCACAGTCCTCTCTGCTTTCTTCGCAGTCCGGGCCCAAGAACATTCCTCGGCTTCCCACCAAGCCTCGATGCAGGAAAGTGGTTTGATCTCCGGAGGCCACTGCAGAGCATGACCCCAGAGCTCCTGGCCCCCATCCCAGCTTGGCCCTGGCTGAAGCGGTGACTCAGTGGGAGCCCCTGCCCTGCTCTGGGTCCCTGCTCACCACCCTGGACACAGGTCCCTGCAGCGCCTCGTGATCTCTGCCTGGGAAGGCGCCTCCGCGGGTGTGAGGCCAGAAGCCCCTCCCAGGGCCAGGGCTCAGCCTCGCGGTGCTTTCTGCAGATTTCTTCCAGGTGTGACTCTGGCAGGCACGTGCCCCTCCCAAGTGCTCTCCAAATAAATCCGCCTTGATAGAGTGGAAATGAACTTCCCGCTCAAGCAGATTCACTCGGGGACCTTACGGTGGATGCCTGATTCATAGGAGCCAGCAGGAGGGGACTCAAGGACAGCAGGCAGCGGAAGGGCCTGTGTGTCGGTCCTGGGGCTGACTGCGTGATGAGCAGGGCGGTGGGTGACGGGCGGTGAGGGAGGAGGACACAACGCTGGGTGTCGGGCGGTTTGTAAACCTTTGCCCTGTTCCGGCTGCTGTGGGGATCGAAGGTGGGCACGGAGGGCGAGGCCAGGGCTTCCCCAGGGCAGCTCGGGCTCCAGGACCTCAAGACGCCTGCCCCCACAGGCTGCCCCGGGTGTGCCACCCCACAGAAGGACCCGGGGGCTCTTTGGTGATCTGCTGTCACTGCTGTCATCTCTGGATTTAGAAACCTATTCATCTCGCAGACGACATGGGAGACCTGCGTCACCGTGGAGTCGGCCGTGAGGGTTGGGCCAGGGAGCCAGAGTGTTTATAGGCCCCAGCACCCATCCGTGGGGGGCAGGGTGCCCCAGGAGCCTCTGCTGGATGAAAGGACTTCTCCTTGTGTGTGTGGCCCCTGGGCTTCTGTCCCTGGCCCTGATGGCCCTGGCTGCCATCAGAACTCCTGGGGCATTCGCCAACCCCAGGCTAGTGGGTTCAGACCCTCCAGGACAGAGGACGTAGTGAGTTAGCGGTGGCCCTGGTCATGCCCACTCCTGTCCCCACGGAGGTCATGTGCCCGATTCCTCAAGGCACCTCATGGCTGGAGTTGACATAAACCTGGCTTCCCAAACGGAGCTGTTTCTTCCCATCAACCTGAAAGCCAGGATCACCCCCAGGCACGGTGACGAATGTCCCCATCTGCCCTGGTAGTAGGTAGATGTCTTCCCTTCGTGTCCCACACGCAGAACCTGATAATAATCCTTGAGCCCCACGAGCCCGCTAATGCTCAGAGCCGGGCAGAGGCCCTGGCCTCCCTCAAGCCACCCAGCCTGCAGATCCTCCAGGACAATTGTGGTTTTGTGGGAGGAAGTGCGTGGGGTGGCGGGAGGTGTGCATCTCTCAGACAAGGACTTTGTCACCTCAATCTTAAAGGACTCACCCAAGTCACAAAGCCAGTGAGTACCCAAGCCTAGGTCCCAGCCTCCCTTCCCTGCCTCCAAAGCCCAGGGATGGGAGGGGGGGGCAGGGTACATGGTGATGAGCAGTCCTGCAGGGGCCCCAGCATCCAGGGGAGGCCAACTCTGTCCCCTCTTCCTGAAGGGGGGCTGCCCACAAGATGGGGTGGAGACCAGCAGACAGGGCTTGCTCCACCACGTCCAGTCCTGGCCTCGGCAGGTTTCCTCGCTCAGCCTCCGTTTCCCTGCTGTGAAGTGGGCGTGATAAGAGCAGCTGTCGTCCAGAGTTGCTGGGGACGGGCCCTGAGGGGTGGGCGTAGTAGGTATTCAGGACGGGCTCAGGTATGATCACCCACCTGGTACACAAGCACCAGTCCTCTTGGTCCTCCCAAGACCTGCCAAGGGGGCCTGGTCATCTGCACGGTCAGCAGAGAGAGCCCGGTCTGGAGCTGAGTCCCATGTGGCCCTACTGGGCCCCAGCTGTGTGCCCTGGACGCAGGGCTCAGCCCTCAGTTTCCATCCCTTCAAAAAGGGAGCTCACAGCTGCCGTGATCCCCACAGGCCCGATGAGAGGAGGGGTGAAAACAGTGGGGACTTCCAGGGCCAAGAGGCCGAGGAGGGGGACAGAGGGGCACCGGAGCCCCCACCCGGGACCAGACAGGATGCCGTGGCAATGACAGAGCCCAGCTGGAACCAGCTGCAGGGGTGTGGTCAGGGCCCTGCGTGGGGCTGCTGGGGCTCCAGCTGAGGCTCTCAGAGTCCGTCAGGGCGCCCTTTTTCGTGTCTGCTATTGTCAGTGTCAACGGGCTCATATGTCATAACTTCCACAGTGACACGTCGCTGAAGTCAGTGGGGTCAGACTTCACTAATGATAAATTCACAGGACATGCTGAGGCACGCCAGGGACAGGTGTACCCTCCACTCCTCTCCCGATGGCCACGTCTTGTCAGAGGAGGAGTGGATGACAATCGGTCCCCAGAGCACCCTCACACGCCTCTGCTGGCCGTCTTGATCTTACCCGACGAGTGGCTGACTGCTCTGTCACCTCCTCCTGGCTGGAGGATTAACTCCCTGGCTCACAGGGCTGCAGGACGCTGAACTGGCAGCAACCGGCCCCCGGGCTGCATGGCCAGCACCTGGTCAGGCCGGTTACTGGGGTGGCCAGATGGCCTCCCATCCTCCCACGCTTCCAGGAGCAGGAGAGGCCAGCCTCTCTTCCCCGAATCCCCAGCTGGAGTTTCCTGGAGGGGCCAGGGCTCAGGGAGGGCGGTCGAGGCTGGGTGGCTTCTCCGTTGGCCTGGGCACAGTTCAGGGCAGTGGGCCAGGTCATGGGCTGCGAGGACTTCACGCCTCCTACTGGCAGGGCCTCCGAGCACAGCTGCAGGATGGACCCTGGGTGCTCCTGGCCCCCAGCAGACAGAGCAAGGAGAGACACCAGGAAGCTGGAGAGAGAGTGGGCAAGCCAGGGCCCCCCCCGCTCCTGCCCGGTCCAGGCCAATGGCCTCACCTGGCCAAGGTCTCTGAAAAGCAGCTTCCCTGCAGGAAGAGACTTAACTGAATGATCCCTTTGTGCCCAGGTCAGCATGACCCGGGCACATTCCTGGAGTTTTCCAACAGAGCTGGCAGGATTAACCCCCACACCCTGTCTTCTTTCTAGAACATTCTCACAGAGATCAGTAAGTTGGTCTAAGGAGAAGGCAGGTGGGTCCTTGTTAGGGGGCTACAGTGCAGGAGAGACCCCACCTTATGACCCCTAGGGAGGGCTTTCTCCATACCTGGGGGTAGGTGCCTGGCCCACAGGTAAGGAAGTCCTCAAAGTGCCCCTCCTGCAGGCACCAGGAGCTGCCACCAGAGTCACCCCCACCGGCAGCCTTGAGGCCTATCGGATGACGGATTCACTGTGACCCTGTTGTTCAACTCACCTTGTGGAGTGGGAGGCACAGGGGGCACTGGGGCTGCAGCGCGAGGTCCAGGAAGACACTGTGTGGGCGCTGGGCCTCCAGGAGGGGCCGAGGCTCAGGGGGGCTTCCAGAGCACGGGTCAGGGCTGCTGTCACAAGTGCCCCCACCTGGGTGGTGTTAACAGCAGAAACGGAGCAAGGCTCTGGGGCCCGGCCCTGGAGTGGGCTCTCACCTGAGTGGTTCAGGCAGCTTCTTGGATACTTCTCTTCCCTTCTCTGAGGCATCAGGATGAAGAAAACGTCACTGTTCACTGTGACGACTAGGGATCAGTTGAAATCCCACAGTGAAGGGCATGGCCCAGCCCTGGCATGCAGAAAACGCCAGGCACCGAAGTCCGCGTCTGCTGGCTGTGTGAGCGGAGGGGGACACCTGGAGCTGTGTGGGTGGGGGGTCACCTCCTACCTTTTAGATGCAGAGGAGGCGGGGGGAGAAGAGAAGAAAGACACTGAGAGAAGAAGGAGAGGGAGGAAGAGGGGAGGGGGAAGGAGAGAAGGAGAGAAGCCACTGCCCGTCCGTCTGCCCGTCTGATTGGCAGGAGGCTAGCTGTGCCCCCTGTCCAACGCCAACTCCGCAGCCCCCCGTAGGCAGCTGCCCCTGGTTTTTGTCTTAGGCCAGAAGCAAGGGGCTTCTCTTATATGCAACAAAAATCAAGGTGAGTGCTAAAGGCACCTGAGACACTTGGCTTGGCCCGTCTGGCAGGCTGAGGGTCCCACGGAATCTGTCAGAGTCCAGCCACCTTCCCCCGGAGGCCAGGGAAATCCTGCCCCAGGCCCAGTGGCCACAGAGACAAGCCTGCAGCCCAGGCATGGGGCGGTGCCGAAGCTCCTCGGGGCCATCTCCTGCGCCTACAGGAGCCTTCACAGCCTGCCCACCTGCACCCCACGCCCAGGCCTCCTCTCCCTGAGGCCCGGCTTCTGGCAAGTTCCACACTCAATCCAGGGACGCGTTGGACAGGTCACACCCTGCCCAGTAGGCAAGCCAGCCTGTGAGGAGGGAGAGCACAGGGAAGCGGCCATCGCGGCCTCCCAGCACTGCGCCCAGTGCCGCCTGCTCAACACCAGTCTCCCCGGCCACCTCCACTGCTCCCTGTCCGCCGAGGCATCGCTGCCACCACAGATGACCAGTCCAGGACAGTTCCTGACCTGAAGCCCACGAGGTTCGTTCTGACATTTTCAGCTACAAGCCCCTGTGGAGGTGGCGCCCTGAAGCCGTGTGCCCCTCCCACGGTCGCCCGTCCCCCTCTGCCCTCAGAGTGTGCTAGGCGGGGGGCCGGGGGCTTAGAGCAAACCTTTGGTGTCACTGACGGTGCCTGTGAGTGCTGGAACGTGGCTCCCAAAGCTGAGGACTATCGCTTGGTTGGTTTTAATGTAACTGGAAGGTCCTCAGCACAGGACCCTTGGTTTGGAGAGTCCACATGGAACTCTCCAGGATACCATGCCATGTGTCCTGGGGGGACCAGGACGGTCCCAACCTAGTCCCAGTCTCACTTGGTGGCCAGTTCACGAGAGCAGAGCTTCCCACAGTGAGGTTCCCGGAACCAGCAGCGCCAGCCCCGAGTGAGATGCAGAGTCCCAAGCCTGTCCCACCCTGGGCCTGACACCCGCCCGGGGAGTCTGCCGCAGGCTCCCGCCACAGGAGAGAGGCAGCCTGGGGAAGGCTCCGCTCTGACGTCCAGGAGCTTGGCTCTGGGAGCAGGTTCGGCTCCTTCCCTGAGGACAGAGAGGCTGGTGGCAGGCAGTGCCACCTGGTGGGTGGAAGGCTACTGTCAGCCAGGGAAACCGGCTCCTCTCCCTGCCCGGGGGACCCCCAGGGACCCCCCCCCAGTCCACAAAACAAGCAAACGTTAGCACCGGCCTCCAGGCCACTGCGAGGGCAGGACAGTCAAGAGCGGAAGCAGCCCGCTGGCTCCCGGGGCTGCCCGAGGTGTCCCAGTGT